GTGGGATACTGTTTTTGTTACTCTTGTTTTTTAGTGTTTATTTAAGTTAGGGAGGTAAATATAATTTGCCTTCTTTGATTTGCTGAGTTGTCTTCAGATCAGTTCTGCCTGTTGTGTTGGCTTCTGCCCACTCTGCATTCAGGCCTAGTTCCACATATCTCTTATCACATAAGACCCAGTGCACAATATTCACACCACGCCACAGATCATTTTTCAGAAAAAAGGCAGAGACACAAGGTAAAATTAGCCTCAGTGTGTTTGGCAGGAAATACCTACAGATCTGATTGGCCAACTGTAGTTTCCATTTAAGGCGGCAGATTCCTGACCTCTGTTAATAAATGCCCTGTTGGGAGGATTTATGTCTCTGTGGGAACAGAGAGGAAGCTCGTTGGGAGCTGACAAAGAGCTGGTGTGTGTGTTTACTCCCTCAACTTGTTTACAGATCGATAGAAAGGAGGCAGGAGGCACTGGTGAATTTATGACTATTACTAAACTCTAGCACAGAAACAATTTCTCTGTTAATTTACACATTTTTCAGTTTGGAATAGTTTCAGTGTTAATGCTGCAACTGATGAGAACTGTTGCAATCTATTAATCTGACAATTATTTTATCAACTAATTCACTGGTTTGTTCTAAAAAAATGTTAAAAAATAGTGGAAAATGCCTGTTACCAATTTCCTGAAGCCACAGCGATCAGGTTGCTTGTTTCAATCAACCAAGCAACCGAGTGGCTGATTGTGTCAGTTTGTTTCGGGTCTCTCTAGTTCCACCAGGCTGGAAAGACATTAGGTAGAGGAGGTTTAAGTAGTTTGTGTGTGTCTTTTTCACGTCTAATAATCTAAGCCTTAGTTTAGCCTGATGACAGATGTTTAGTATGCTTAATGAAGCTGTCTAGGTTTCTTTTTTTTTGCCTGAATTTGGATGGTGTTTGTTCTTGTTGTGTTTATTTTTATTAACATGTTTTTGTCTCTTAAGAAAACACAAGACCTGCACAGGCCTCCTGAGCACATCTCCACTGTGGAAATCTGCTATATTATTCTCTGATACGACTTTTCCACCGTGTCCTCAGGGCAGAGCTATTTACAGCACTGGGCTGCTGTCTGTGTGGCCTGTAAACACATTGATTCGGCTCATGTTGCTGCTGCTGTGATGATCCCCTGCAGCAAGGTTCAGGAGCTAATGTGTGAGTTAACAAGCGGTGCTGCCCGGCGCACTCACAGAGCAAATGGGGCACAAATCTCACGGCGAGATGGCAGAGTGACAGACAGAAACTATGACACTCTTTGGTTTGTGTAGCTGAATTGACAAAAAACATCCATAACACCCTGCTGAGCTTTCTGCTTATATGTAAAATAAAAACACTTATTCTGCTGCTGTGTGTCTTTCCCCATCCAGGAATGCGGGTTGGCAAACCTGTTGGGGCAAATTTGAGCTCAACACAAGGGTAGGATGACATACAAGGAGCTGCCGCTATATCTATATAGGCTTCCTTCATTTGGTAGTATGTAAACAAATGTGTTGTTTTTGGTTGGTTCTCTTTTTGACTTTGTAATGCCTCTTGTCTCCCAATCAAATTGATACACTTTGCTCTAGGGGCAGAAACACACCAAGCTGACATCAAAGAATTAGTGGCAATGAAGGCCAACTGTTGAGTCACCTCACGTTGCCTTCATCTGGGCCAAAAAAGTGGTACCTGAACACATCGCAAAAAATACAGACCAACAGTCAACCAGCACCATGTGTTCTGGGGTGGCTGTGGCTCACGAGGTAGGGCAGTCGTCTCCTGACCAGCAAGTTGGTGGTTCGACTCCAAGTCTCTCTGCATGCCTAAGTGTCCCTGAGCAAGACACTGAACCCCGAATTGCTCCCAGTGGCTTTACTAGTGCCGTTGTCATCGGTGTGTGAATGTTGTGTGTGAATGGGGGAATGGTGTATCATCTCCTGTAAAGCACTTTGGCCAGTGCAACACACTGTGCAAAATGCACTATATAAATACAGCCCATTTACCATTCTGCACCTGCATTCGTGGAGGTAACTCTCTATACCAGCAGGTGGTAGTATCTGTCATCGTCATTCAAAGGGCAAGA